CCTGAGGTGCCAGCCAAAGTGAGGGAACACCAAGAACAGGCCAGAAAGTCCAGGTACAAATTATCCCAAGGGACACGGACTGGCTGTCTCTCATGCCCACGGGGAACCAGGCAAGTCAAGGTCATCTCTAGGAAGCGACTTTCTTGCTTGTCCCCCGGGAACAGTGTCTCCTCACCCTTGCAGGTGGCTGTGGCTGGAGGACGGGGTCCCTGGGCTGTGCCTTTGGGGTCTCTGTCCTGTCCCTGGTGAGCAGAGCTCTCTCTGCTCCCTGGTGCCCTGTCCTGAGCTGCTCTCCTCCTCCAGGCCCTGCCACCATCTTGTTCTGCTCCCCTTGGGCCAGAGCCATGGAGTCGGCCACCATGAACCTCTGAAAACCTGAGCCCCCCATTTTTTCCATCTCTAAATTATTGACGTCAAGTGTTTTGTCACAGCAATGAAAACCTGACTCGCCTCTTGGGGTCCAACCAGCATCCTGTGAGGGTGACCTAATCCTGGGACCACGTGTGCATGTTCTGGTGACAGTCTCCTCAGGTGTCTGCCCCAGGGCTGATCTCATGGGCTCCCACTCTTTGTAGATGGGTCCTTGCCCAGAATGGATCTCCTTAGTTGCTTCCATGTTCCGTGGCTGCCATCTTGAAATTCTCCATCCATGTTTGGGTCCCCGGGCTCCTGCTGCTAATCCCACCCCACTGCAGGGGTGCCCCCGGGGCAAAGTGGAGTCCCCAGCCCGAGTCCCTGGCCTCACGGTTGAGTCTCCGTGTGCGAGGGCTGGGTCAGCTACAGGAAGCCCGGGAAGCATGTCCGGAAAGGTCCCCCCGGTAGTCTGTCTGTCCTTCCACTCCCTGGACCACTCATCTGTTCAGTCACCAACTCATCCACCCACCCACCTATCCGTCTGTCCATCTGTCCACCCATCCATCCATCTGTGCATCCATCCATCCATCCATTTTGATATCCAGACATCCATCCATCTGTCCATCAGTCCATCAAATATTTAGCATGCACACTTGGTTCTACATATTAATATACGTCTCACTCTGCAAATACAGATTTTTTATTATATGTACCATATTCATGTCTTTTATTGACATTATATTTGCAATTATATCGACTATTATGCATCCTAGATATGCCATGCTCTCTATAAATATATAGGGTATTCTGTGTACACAGGTATAAATATCCTTTATTATATATAATATAAATAGCACATGTATCCCTACTATTATATATTCACATGATATTATACGATAAATTATAATATATTAATTACATAATAATATGACATATTATATTATTTTATATCATTAATATATTATAATATATCATATAAAATTATATATGATATATTATAATATATTAATGTTAATACATGTATTATAATATATAATATAATATATTATAATATATATTATATAAAATATAATACATAATATATAATAAATATATTTATTATGTATTATATTAATACATAATAAATACATTTATTATTTTTATTATATATCATTTTATATATAAACAGTACATGTGTTAACACTATGCAACTTTATGTTAATACATATAATATCTGTGTAATTCTACATAGTATCAATCCGACTATGCACATGCAGTCCTGTGTATTAATACATACTGCACTCTGTGTATAGAGATTTGGATATATTTTATTTTATTATACATATATATATACATAGATCTTCTATTAACACCACACAAGCACCCTCTATACATCACATATGCACTATTTATATTTGATTTTATGTATTCACACACACTAGGCAGACATGCGGTTCTCTACGTATGCCATGACATATGTGTGTGTCCTCAGTAATCCTCGCTGTCGAGTTTCTTCCCGCTCCTTGAGGGCTTCAGAAATTGCATGACTTGCAAGGTGCAGTGGCCCACGTCTGTTCCCCCAGGGCCTCTGGAGGCTGAGGCAGGAGGATCGCAAGTTGGAGGCCAGCCTCAGCAACTTAGAGAGGCCGTAAGCAACTGAGTGAGCTCGTGTCTCTAAATAAAAATATAAAAAAGGGGCTGGGGCCGAGGCTCAGTGGTTAAGCACCCTGGGCTCCATCGCTGGGGCTCCGTCTGCAAAAACAAAATGTTTCATTATGGAAATGCTGAGTCTTTAACATGAGCTAATTGTGCTTTGCTTGCACTCCACCAGGAGAATTTAATCTCCTAAAAAGCCTGTGTGTGTCTCGGGGTTGGGCTCCCAGCCCGGGCCACAGTGGCCTGAAAGTGCAGCCTGTCACAGCTCGGACCAACGCCAATAAACACAAATAAATAGACCTCGGTGGAGGCTTTTAAAGTAAACACCGTGCCCAGAGGCAGGCGCAGTACCCACTGCGGGGTCCTTGAAGACTTGTACCTGATGATTGACACATTTGGGTCGTTGGGGGATGGAATCCAATTCAAAAGATCCCCTCCCCCCACATTAATTGAATTTTCATTCTGGAGATGAGAACTTTAGACACGCATTTCAAAATGCCCACAACATCTAATGGAAATTGTAATTTTTGAGCTGAAGAAAAACAGAACATCTCATTGTGATAAAGGGGACACGGATGAGTCTTTGGAATTGGCCACCAGCCTGAAGTCCCCTTGGTTTCTTTCATTTCTGTTTCCATCTCAGGCTGATTTGCCTCATGGCTCCAAAATGGCTGCAACAGCTCCAACATTCCCTGGCCTCATAAGGAAAAATCGTGAGATCTTCCAAAGACCGTACCCCTCCATTGTCCCCAAGTGTGCAACCAACCTGGAAAAAAAAATATCACTGGGCAGAGGGTGAGGGCTCTGCAGGAGGGGAAGGGGCAGAAGAAAATACCTGGGAGAAGGGGCTGTGGCTGCGCCATCAACTCAGGTGAGCTGTAAGACTTCCTGTTTCAACCGACAAATGTCGGCTTTCTTCTTGTGACTCCGAACCAGGGTCAGGTGGCAGGGCAATTAGGGGACAATAAAAAGATAAACCCTCTCTCCTCTGGTGCAGGTGTGCAGGGCCAGATTTGTAAACAGATTTGTAACCTCCTGAGATACACAGCATGCGGAGGCCCTGCGGCCCTGTGGCCCTGTGAGAGTGTCACCCAGCTGGCCACGGTGCGGCAGGCCGCAGATGACAGGTGTTCCCACACAGGCAGGAGGGGGCCCAGACACAGCCTGCGGCTAGACCATGACACGGGCCTGGACTGGCCAGAGGGGAGGTAGTGACTCAGGGTGGACAGCCGGTGACTCAGGGGTCTGTCACGCAGGGTAGTGGAATGTCACACCGCAGAGGCAAAGGCGCGGAACGTTAAGCTCACCTAGAGCACAACATGGTCTTAGTGGGGACAGGGGACACCTCTGGCCTGGGATCAGGGCCTTTAGACCAGGGACCGGGAAACAGGGTGGGGGTGGCATTTCCTGCCCATCCCCCCCCCCAGTGATTGACAGTCCCCACCCCCAGCTCTCCTCGCCCTTAGGCGCCGGCTCCCGGAAGCTGCCGGAGCTGAGGCCCCTTTCAGGGAAATCCTTGCCGGTGCGCAGCTGGAGCAACCGTACGCCGGGTCCCGCCGCCCCTCCCCCACCCCGGGACTTCCCTCCGCCACGAGTCGGAGCTGCCCGGGGAGGCCGCGGGGGGACCAAGGGCTGCCCCTCTCCCGGGACGGACGGAGCGCGGAGTCCTCCCTGGGGGCGCGTGGGGAGCCCCGCGGAGCAGTTTGCAGACAGGAGGGGCTTGGCGGGGGCGGCGACCCCCTCGGAGCGCTCGGGACTCGCCCCGCGGGGTCCCCTCCAGGGTTTGCCGCGGTCCCGGGGCCAGGGCGCGGGGTGGGAGGTGGCCGGGGCGGGCGCGGGGCGGGGACAGGGCGGCGCCCCTCCTCCGGCCCCGCCTGGGCCCGGGATCTCTGCGCCGCCGCCCGGGCGCCCCACTCGCCGGACTGTCCCCCGCGGCTCCGCGCGCACCATGGCGCGTCGGGCCGCCCTGGCCGGGCTGCTGCTGCTCCTCCTGCTGGGCGCCGAGCTGCGGGCGCAGGGTGAGTGACCGCCACCGGGCCCGGGGGCGCGGGGGGCGCACGGCATCGCGGGGGGCGCAGCGCGCGGCGAGGCCTCGGTCCGCGCCCGGAGCCCTGGCGGGCGGCCAGCGGGTGGCCCACGCCTCCAGGAGGAGGCCCGCGTCTCCAGCTGTGTCCCCGGGGCCAGCCCGGATCGCTTCCAGGCGCGAAATGTCAGCGTGTCTTTTCGGGCGTCTCCAACTTTTTCAAAGTTTGCAGGAGGCCCCCGGGGGACAGCCGGCGACCGTCCCCCTCCGCTTCCCAGCCCGGGCGACCGGCTTACGGTCCGCAGCCCGGTGCCCGCTGTCCCCCGGCCACTTGGGTCGCCACCTCTCGCCCACGCGCACGGGGGCCCTCGGGGACCTGGGCCTTTGTGTGCGAGCCGCGTCCCCAGCCACGCCCTGCGCCCGGGCCTAAATTTGGAATCGGCTCAGGAGCTCGGGCCTGGGAGGAGGGGCAGGGCGAGGTGGGCAGAAAAAGTCCTTGGCGAGCGCTGGCCGCGGGTCACGCCTGGTGGAGAAGCGACGCGGGGACACCGAGGCGCCCTTACCAGATGGTCAGGGGCTTGTCACTCGGGACAGGCAGGAAAAGGAGCCAGAGAAGCAGAATCCCCGGGACCCCTGGCCCTTTCTCTCCCCCATCCCTGCCCCAACTTCTTTGCAAAACGGAAAGGCTTCAGGGCGCGGGTGGTGTGAGTCACTGTCACCACACGCAGGGCACCGCTGGGTCCCTGAGTGCGCGCGCCCGCTGCCCGTATCTGGGCGCCGGTTCTGTTCAGGAATGAGAAGCGCGCAGCAGCCGGGATGGGGCCTTCAAATTTCTCTGCCGAGCGCCCCCAGCCTGCAGCTCAGCCTAGACCTGAGGGGGACACCAGGCCCTCGGTTTTTAGGGACAATTTGAACCCGGTTTTGGAATGCACCGCGGCCAAGCACGAGCGCAGCCTGCCTCCTGGTGGGGAAAACGAATTTACAGCTCGCCGGTCCTACCCCTCCCTAACTTGTCCCTGACCTGCTGTTGCTGCAGAATTGGCGGGCGATTGCACCTTTTTGGAGGGTTACGGTGGAGAGGGGGCGGCCTCGTCATGTCTGAGTCCCAAATAAGACGTTTCAGTGTATCGGCTTGGAAGTGCCTCAGTGGTGCTCACGGGCCCTACCAACCCCAAGGCTGTGAATGTGGATGATTTCCGTGATGGGGTGGCCGCAGGGTGGGGCAGGGGACTGCGCTCTTCCTCTGAGGGGCCGCCTCCTCTTCCCGCTCCTGATCCCCTCTTTCCCATCAGATCCTCTTGGGACCAGATGGGGACCAGATTGTTCCCGAGAGTCAGCCTCGGGCTTGGTTTCCACGGGGGGTTTGCAAAAAATCTTGGCTCCAGACGGGTCCTAAGTCTTGCTGCTGGGAACTCTGGCTCCATGTTCCCAGTTTGGGGACCCGAGGAGTCGTGGGCTCCCAGGCAGCACAGTGCCCTGGTGGGTCCCTGAGACCTGGACATTCCCCAGGCACGTGGGTGGCGCCCAGGAACTGGAATGGACGCCCAAAGAGTGGCTTTGATTTCCACGGTGACGGTGACAGAGCCTTCCACAGAGGACAGGGGATTTTGGAGAAGTGGGAAGACACAGACCCAGGGCTTGGCGTCTCCAGGGGCAGCGTCTAGTGGAGGAGGAATTGTCCCCTGGAGACCTGAGGCAGGGCACCCCTGCACGCTGAGGGTCCATCGGGGGCATCTGCAGCCAGGAGGGCACGAAGTCCCTGCAGGGTGGGCTCTGGCTCCCAGGTGGCACCGTAGCGGGGACCTTGGGTCCTGGTGCATCTCCTTGAGCTCAGCAGTGCCTTAGATCTGAGGTGGCCGGCTGTGGACCTGCCAATCAACGAAGCGTCCGTCTGTACCTGGAAGCAGTCGGCCACCCAGAGATCTGAGACCCACATGACACTCGAGCCAGGTCTTGGCCGTTCTTATGGGTCTGTCCCTGAGCTCTGGTGAGTGGACAGAGGCTGCTCACTCGGCCGGGCGCCGTGGCCCACGCCTGTCCTCCCAGCGGCTCGGGAGGCTGAGGCAGGAGGATGGCGAGTTCAAAGCCAGCCTCAGCCAAAGCGAGGCCCTGAGCCACTCAGGGAGACCCTGTCCCTAAATAAAATGCAAAACACGGCTGGGGACGTGCAGAGCTAACTGGACTCCTGTCCAATGGGGGGCACTGTCCAGCGAGGGGCACTCGGGGAGGTCACCTGGGTCCTTCTGGGCTCTCCGTGTCCCCTGGCGCCAGGACATGGGGACCCTGCGCTCCCCACATTTGCAGACCCTTCTGACGTGGGGTAGCCAGAGGCGCCCGGAGCCTCTCAGGGGGACGCTGGATTCTTTAACCCAGAAGCCGCCAGCCTCTGGCCGGGCTGGGGACCCTCTCCCCTGATTTCCACCAGGTTTTTAAACCTATTTTCACGTTTGGCAAAAGAAAGACCCAAAATCCAGACAGACGGACATTTCACCCCCTGGAATCCGTCTGTCCGTCAGGGTGACCTAAGGGTCTATTTCATTTCATTTCATTATTTTTTTTGTACTGGGGACCGGTCAGTATTGAGCCACACCCTGGCTCCTTTATTTTTATCATTTTTAGATTTTTTTAAAATTATTTTTTTTTAATTTATTTTATTAATTTTGGGGGGTACCGGCTGTTAAATTCGAGGGGTGCTTAGCCACTGAGCCCCATCCCCAGCCCTTTTTGTATTTTATTTAGACACAGGTTCTCCCTGAGTTGCTCAGGGCCTCTTTGAGTTGCTGAGGCTGGCCTCCAACTTGCGATCCTCCTGCCTCAGCCTCCCGAGCCACCGGGATGACAGGCATGGGCCACCGCGCCTGGCTCAAGCAGTTTATCACATGGTCATCGTCACCTTGTAAGAGCGTGGTGGCAGGCGGAGCGTTGTTGCTGGTGGAGGTGGCCTTCAGGGTGGCAGAGTGTCCCCACCGCAGGGACAGCTGTACGCCCTGGCCTTCTTGTGTGTGTGCCCTTGTCCTGGAGGAAGGACGGTGACCAAGGACGGTGACGGCATCGGGGTGATAACGGCACCGTCTGCACATGGCCACTTCTCTCTGGGGGCTTCCTGTTGGTGCTGGGCCGTTGGCTTGGGCGGGTGCCAGCCTCCCTGGTGAGGCTGGGCCTCTACCCCCCTCTACAACTTCCTGTTTCCTGTTTTCCTTCCCCTGAGCCACACCAGTGAGTGCCCTGGAAACCGCAGCTGGCCGCCCCCGGCTCCCGGGCGTCACTTCTCCAGGGGACACCGTCGTCGCTGGGGTCCCTCTGTGCGCTGAGAAGCGCCCCAAGATGGCAGGTCCTGCCGGCCCCTGGAGGAGGGCACGGGAGCCACGGATGGTTCTAGAGCCCGAGGGATGTGGTATCTTCTCGGTCCCTCTGCACCGAGCTAGCTCCCACAGACAGACGTGACGGACAGCCAGGGCCCCCGCCCGGTGTCCGGCTTCCAGCCAGAGGTGTCTGCGGGATGATGGCTGTGACCCCCAGACAGCCCCGAGGTCAGAGCCGCAGCCTGGGTTCATCTCTGTGTCCAGCAAGATAAGGAGCTGGAGATAAGCGGGGAGTGGAAATGGTGGGGAAGAACTAGACTGGGAGTGTGATCACAGAGGGAACTTCCCTAGATCCACATCTGGGCATTCTGCTTTTTCTTCACCCCCCAGTGTCCAGGACCCTGTCCCCAGATTCCTCACTGGGTTGAGCTTTGGTAGGGAATTGTGCAGGGATCAGGTCTGTCTGGATGCACCAAGTGCTCCGTGTCCAAAGCACCGGGATTTAGTCTCCTTGGCCTGCATCCCCTCCTTCATGCCTATCTTTTAGGATATGGCCCTTTGCCAGAGCTCAGGACTGGAAGCAGCCCGTTCCACTCCTGCCGGCTCCTTCTTCCACATCAGATTGTTAGCAGACTGTTGAATTAATTCCCTCAATTGTTCGGCACCGTCCCCAACCCTAGCATCTGTCCAGGACTCGGAGGAGCCCTTCAGATAGTTCATACCTTGCACACTTTGGGCAGGTCCAGGCACCTCCTTAGAGACTGAAGGCTTTTTAAAAGCCCCTCACCAGAGCACCCCAGAGGCCCTGAGAGGCCAGGTTCCAGCTGTCAATCAAGTTTGTCCACCATCCAGCCGTCAATCATCCATGTGCATCCATCTGTCCACCCACCCACCGGTCCACCCACCCATCCATCCCTTGATCCTTTGCCGGGTTATCCCAGCGGCTCAGGAGGCTGAGGCAGGAGGATGGAGAGTGGGAGGCCAGCCTCAGCCATTTAGCAAGACTCCACCCAACTCAGCGAGACCCTGGATCTAAATAAAAAGTCAAAATGCCCTGGGGATGTGGCTCCGCGGAGAAGCGTCCCGGGGTTCCGTCCCCAGGAAAGAAAAAGGACAGTTCCCTTTTGTGGTGACCCGCGGTGCAGAGTCCCAAGGGACGGCCAGGTCCGTCTCTGCGTCTGTCACCTCCGCCTGGGTCCCTCCCGCACCCTCAAGTGGGCTGTCACTGTCACGGAGAATCCCCACACGGTCCCTGGGCCACCAGGTCCCCTGATTTCCTGGAGACCCAGGCCTGGAAGGCGGTTCCCTGAGGTGATCTGCAAAAGGCACCGTATACAGGCGGCGCCTAAGCTCGGCGTAGGTCGACCCAGCCGGTTTGCAAGTCCAGGGGCCCTTGGCCTCTGCGGGGCTGCCCTTCGGTGCGCCTTCGGGCTGCATTTGCACCTGCGGAGCTCACCCCTGCGGCCTGCGGGAGGCAGCTCGGCGGGAGGCCGGGAGGCCGGGAGGCCGCGAGGGAGGCCCGTGCGCGCCTCGGCTTGTTTTCCGAGTTTCCTGGCCGCGGAGCCGAGGAAGGGCGGGGCTCGGGCCGCCGTTGGGACGCGCCCTGGTGACTCATCGGCCGGTCCCCTGCACATCTGGAGGCTGGTTGCGCGGGCGGAGGGCGGGGCGGAGGCAGCCTCTCTGCAAACCGAGGGAGGATCCGAGCGGCCGGCTTCCCCGGGGCATCTGGGGGCCCCCCCGGACTGGCCACCTGCCCTTTCTCGCTAATGTCCCTGGGGGGGGGGTGTTTGGGCAGCAGATCTGGGTATGGGTCACCTGGGTTTTGTGCGCACCGAGGAGGACCAGAAGGGAGGACAGGGCTCTGTGTCTCGGAAGGAGAGGAAGTTGGTGGCTTTTTCTGGAAGGTCTGAGTGTCACTTTGTGCCCCCTCCCCCTCCGCCTGGTGTAAGATGACATGATCTAGGTGACCCAGCCATCTGCGCCCTCACGATCATGGCCGCGTCCTTCCAAGCAGCTCAGAAATGGGGACAACCTAGGATGAGCCCCGGGAGAAATATGTCCTGTAGGCAGGTGGGAATAGTATGCAACCACAAAAAAGGCAGGCTCCTCCTGTCCTTGGTGACAGCGTGGTGGCCCGGAGGGGAGGATGTGTGTGCCCTGAAACAAGCCAGGCTCAGAAAGACGAGGGGAACCTGTTCTGACTCTCACAAGAAACAGGAAGTGCCCAGGTGGTTTCTGGGGGTTCGGGGAGCCGGACACGAGGATTAGCTGCAGAGTTGGTTTGGACCTCGGGGAGGCCGGTGGCAATAATGTGTCCCATCCCGGGACACCTGGAGGGGATTCCAGGTGTCCAAATGTCCTCTTCCACGTCTGGGAGCTCTGCAGTCTCTGAGGAAAACGGGGGTGTCCAGACCTCTGCCCCTGAGTGGACCTCTGCCCCTGGCCCCACCCACTGTCCACAAACTGGACCCCTGAGCCCCGTCCCCAGCCCTGTTTTGCATTTTATTTAGGGACAGGGTCTCCCTGAGCTGCACAGGGCCTCCCTTTGGCTGAGGCTGGCTTTGACCTCGCCATCCTCCTGCCTCGGCCTCCGGAGAGCCGCTGGGAGGACAGGCGTGGGCCACGGCGGCCGGCGTAATTTCCCCGATTCCTAACCTGGGTCTTCTCCCTTTTCCTCTCAGATTTGGATCTGTCCGACGCCCTCGGTGAGTAGTGCCTGATTTTTTATTTTTATTTTCTTTAACTTTGCACACAGTGTGTCCCTTAAGGCCTTGACGGTGTGAGCCCCTCGGGAAGGGGACAGTGCACAGAGGTCCAGCAGGGTCCACCGTGGTGGCCGCTGGGGTCATTCAGTGGAGATGGTGACCTGGAAGCCGGGCAGCCTGGGGCTTGGGGAAGGGACTGGTCCACCCTGCGGCGGGATCCTGCCTGTCCTCTGCCCCAGCCTCGGCTCCCAGGTCCGCTCTGCCCACATCCTGTCCCTCTCTGCACCTGAGACCCCGGCGCCGGGGAAAGGTGTCCAGCTGCCCCTTCTGTCTTGAGCTCTGCTCGGCTCTGGATCCACGGGGTTGTCACAGTAAAGACCCCAAAAGCAGAGGCTGGACCCGGGTCCCCGGCTGAGCCCCCTCCAGGGCTCCAGGGGGCTCCTCCTGCCTGTCCAGCTCCTGGGCTCCAGGTGGCCCTGGGCTGGTGGCCCCTCACTGCAGTCTCTGCCTCCGTCTCCACGGGGCTCCTCCTCTGGGTCTGTGTCCCCTCCTCTGTCTCTTGGGAGGACCCGGCCATGGCATGAGGGCCCCCTGACCCAGGAGGAGCCCATCTCAGGAATGAGTCCCTCTGCAGACACCTTCTAGAAGTCGCTCAGTCCCACGCTAAATGGCTTAGAGCCTGGCTGAGTGGCTGAGGCTGGCCTCCAACTTGCCATCCTCCTGCCTCAGCCTCCCGAGCTGCAGGGATCCAGGGTGGGAGCCACCGCACCCGGCCCAGCCTGGGTTCCTAACGGAGGCCGCTTGGGTGCAGGTCCCTGGGGAGGAAGCGAGGTTCCCGAGGAGTAAATGGGCACCGGTCCCTCCCCCGCCTTCTCCTCTGATCTCGGGCCGTCCACTCTCGGTCTTGCTGCTCAGCTTCCTCTTCTTGTGGTTTCCGGGGGGGGGGGGGGGCATCTGTCTCTCAGGAGGAAGGGGACAACCCGGCGGGACCGTGCTGTGCAGCCAACCGAGTTCCACGTGTGCACGGAGTGGACACGGAGCGGGCCTCCCTGCCTCCGCCTAGTACCTCTAGTTATTTTTGTTTGTTTGCTTCTCAGGAGGCGATGACCAGAAACCAACGAAGGCTCCCAAAAAGCCCAGCGATGACGGTAAGGAGACAAAGTCCTCGCTGTGCAAAATAGAAAGAGGAAACGCTGGCTTCCTGGACCCTAACTAACAGCAGGACAGAGCTCCCGAAGCCACCAAAGGACATGAGTCACTCGTGGGGCCTGTGTCCTGGGTGGTGACATTTTTTTTTTTTTGGTACCAGGGACTGAACCCAGGGACACTCGACCCCTGAGCCCCGTCCCCAGCCCTATTTTGCATTTTATTTAGGGACAGGGTCTCCCTGAGCTGCTTAGGGCCTCGCTTTGGCAGAGGCTGGCTTTGAACCCGCGATCCTCCTGCCTCAGCCTCCCGAGCCGCTGCGGTGACCACCATGGGCCATTTCAATTCCATGTCCACGCCCAACTTTGGGACCCGTGGCCTCTGCCCGTCTGTTCCTTGACGGGCATCATTGGGCCCCAGAGTGTGGTTGGAGTCTTAGCGGATGAGATGGCTGCTGTCCGCTCCTGGCTGGCCTCGCTGCGGAGGCCGCTCTGCCTTAGCTGCTTGCTTGCTTCTGAAGGTGGCGAGGCGGGGAGCCCTCGCGCACTGAGCAGCTGCTGCTCGCCCTCAGCTGACCTAAGCTTGGCCGCGCACGAAGCCCCGGGGCCGTGACAAAGATCGTCCCGAAGCCCTGGCAAGGTGGGCACCGGGGTGGGGCCTTGCTGGAGGGGCGGGCCTCGACTCTGCAAAGGGAGGCACTCGAGACCCTCAGGAGGGTTGAGGTTTCTCTGCTGGGGGGGTCTCCCTCCTGCGCCCCCTCGGTCCTGAGGTCCGGCTCCGTGCTCCTGGAGGCCGCCGTCCGCAAGAAGGACGGCCTCGCGCGTCCTGCAAATAGACGCGGTTAAGGCGGGGTGAGGCTCTTGGACCCTGAGAAAGGTCCATGCCTCAAAGCGGGGAATGTGGTCAGGGCTGGACAGAAAAAGCCACTGGACAGCTCCCTGCAGCTCAGGATGCGCACTGCGCAAAACGCAGTCGCAACTTTGTTGCAAATGACCCCCGCGAAGTTGCAACTTTGTCGCAAATGCACACCTTGAGTCAGTTGCAACTTTGTCGCCCAGCGACACCGAGGAACACCCCGGGTGTTTCCCCAGAGGGACTGAAAGGTAAAGGGGAGCTACCCGAGGGTCCCCAGTGTCCCCTGCTGCGCGCGCTCGAGGCTCAGCTTTGCTAATAACCCGCTGCTTCTGCCCCCCACCCCCCTCGGGTGACCTTTCGTCTGTGCCAGCATCGCGCCCCGAGAACTTTGGAATTAACCCCCTGTCCCCGTTTCTAGGGAACGGCTTTAACCTCGAGGACGCTCTCGGTGGTGGTGGACACGGTGAGTGACCTGCTGCGGCCAGTGTCGTTGAGGTGCCCACTCGTGCATTTCCTTCCAGAAAGGATCGGGGGTCGTCAGGAACCCAACTCGTGTTATTTGATCCCTGCCGCCGTGAGCAGTGTGGCAGTTGGTGCTGGTGTCCGAGGTCCAGTCCCTGGTGGCCGACTCCCTGGCTCTGGCCCAAGGGGAGGCAGAACAAGATGGCGGCAGGGCCTGGAGGAGGAGAGCAGCTCAGGACAGGGCACCAGGGAGCAGAGAGAGCTCTGCTCACCAGGGACAGGACAGAGACCCCAAAGGCACAGCCCAGGGACCCCCTCCTCCAGCCACCCCCACCTGCTGCAGCCACCACCCAGTGAGTCCATCCAAGTGGATTAATCCACTATGAGTCTACACC